ATAAATCTTATGCATTCCATCCACAGACAAGAATAAAATCAGATTCAATTCCATCAGCAGGCAACAGTGCTTATTGAATACGATTGTTTACTTGACAGCTTGTTGATATGGAAGAAATGTTATGGATTCCATCCACAGACAAGAATAAAATCATATTCAATTCCATCAGCAGGCAACAGTGCTTATTGAATACAATTGTTTACTTGACAGCTTGTTGATATGGAAGAAATGTCATGGATTCCATCCACAGACAAGAATAAAATCATGTTCAATTCCATCAGCAGGCAGAACCACAGAGTCATTAAATGCTACATCCACCAGCCAGTAGGAACTAATATTAATATTCCTATCTGTTTCCTTCACATTATCAGAACCCACAACTTTGCCGCAAACCAACTACTTTTTGTGCAAAGTATAAAAACTAAAGATAAAATGTTAATATCATCCATAGTAGAAATACAGTACCTTGTTTTAACACATACCATGAAAACAATGGGTTTCGTCAATTTGCTTCATAAAAGGTGAGAAATATTTCGGAATCCTTTAAAACTTTATTAGTGTAAACTTTATAAGATAAAGCAAAAGCATGCAATCAAACATTACATTTCAAAAAATGAAGCATTTCATTATTGTTGAGAATGGATCAAAGTCATGGGTACTGCTTTCAAGTTTCAGCACCAAAATAAAAGTCCAAGAGCGCTAATGACGCTTGTTTTCCAACCACTCCATGAACTTGACCTGTGCAGCTGCTGTGTCCAACCTATATAGTCGATAATAGTGGCTTGCAATTTCCTGTCCAAATGTCCAACCAAAAACAGCACCGGCTACAAAGGATAATCCAGCACCTGTAAAACAGGGGACATGCACTCAAAGTCATGCAAACTAGGTTCTCACCCTGATCTTTTAAGGTAGGGGCATCCCATAAAAGAAAAAACTTCAAGGAGAAATATTTTCATGAAAGTCAGAGAGTGTCATTCCCAACACAGTCTAACAAGTTTTTAGTCTTTGGCTTTGTTTATATAAAGCCTTGTGACTGAACTGTAATCAACTGCAAACTCAAAAGATAGGGGAACAAGGTGGAAATATTGAACCATGGGAAAACAAGTCTTAGGATCCATATATAACGAGATGAACCAAATGCTTAATACATCCTTAACCATAAGCTGTTATTATGAACATTCTGTTAGCTAACTTATCTTTGGCCAAGATTCTATTAAGAAACTATTACAATTCTGACTTCCCATCCTTTTCACAACATTTTTGCCATTTGTACCCAAAGTATTTTTATTTAATTTGCATTTTATCTTTGAATTGTCTGCTTCTCTTTTCTTCTGGTATAACTTATTTGGATTTTGAGAAACACAACCATGCACACGCAAACACTAGAAGAGAACATCAATAGAAGCCAGGCAATTCAGTAAAATAAATTACGTACATTTCTCTTGTAATGATACCCTCACGCAATCAGTAACAAATATGTCTCAATTTTTTTTACAGGCTTGGCAATGCAATTAGCAAAAGCTGTCTCCTAGCATGCAATGTCTCTATTGTCATTAAAACCATAAAAATGTCAAGCTGGCGAACTCCGCTATTTCTAAATTAAATAAAGAGAAAGAGCACAAGTGAAACAATCAAAGATTAATGTTTATCCCTTATCACATCAAATTAGTATAAATGTCACAACCAAACAGAGCAAGCAATAGTTACCATGTAAACTTCTCGAGTACTTCCATGTCACACCTGCGGTTGATATTGCTCCAATGGCACTTCCTGTAATCCCAAACTTCACTGCCTCCCTGGCAGTCTTCAACTGAAAAGGAAAACATACAAATTCATCATTTTACCAAATAAGTATGCTGTAGCATCATAGGAACAAAATGAACATTTATCTACATGAATCTGCATAACTTCTTTTCCCATTAAAAAGAAATCATATTCATAGTTTCAAATTGCATATCAAATCTATTCTGAAACCCAAAAAATACCCAATAGAATTTTAGAGGGGAGAATCAATCCTCTTACCAATCAAACAAAACACATCATAAATAGCTTAAAGCAAGCACTGAATAGAAACAGGACCTAAAATTAAACCCTAAATAAAAGCAAATAAATCTAAAAAAAAAAAATTCCAAAAAATTTGACCAAAAACGCTAAAGCCACAGAAAACAAAATGAATATGAGATATACGCATATATGCATACAGAAAGTGAAGGAGAAAGAGTAATTACAGGGGGGCCGTGAACGGGATCGGAGGCGATGAACTCCTCTACGTCGGAGCTGGACCAACCGGGAAGCGGCTTCTCACGGCTGACGAATCGAGTATAGTTATCGAGAAACGAAAACCTCTCGGACCAGAACTCCTTGAACCCATCCAAATGGTTTCTGAAGAAAGACTGAGATACCAACGACTGCGACTCCGATGATGATTCCGACATTTCTACCACCCTCTTTCTTCTTCAATTGAATTGAGTAATGATTGATCTGATTCTACCTGCTTCTCTTCCTCTTCACCGGCGAAACCAGCGAGCTGCGTCTGGTATCATAATCCGGTCAATAAAAATGCCCTTTTCCTGATGTGATG